GAATTCCTAAACAATGTGTTTTTTGCTTATTTTTAAATTTTATGAGCTTTAATTATGCTGAATGTATTTGTGTTTTGCTTTTTTTTTTTTCCTTTTTGTCTTTTTTACTGACCGGTAATGGGATCGCAACCCTCGGTGTTGCGCCCACACCGTGCTCAGCCAGTGAGCGGGAACCGGTCTCCACATGGGATCTGAACCCTCGGCGGGAGCGCCACCACGCTCCCAAGCAGCACTGCACTCCCAAGCGGCGCACTCTCCAGTGCTCCACCGGGCCGGCCCGTGTTTTGCTTTTTTTGATGAACATTTTATTTGTATGATTTGTCTGTATTGTAATACATCACTACCCTTTGTTCATTTTTGTTGCTGGATGGTATTCCATTGAATTAAATATTCTAGCATTCATTTATCCATTCTACTGATGATGGATTTTAGGTTTGTTTCCATTTATGCTACTATGAATATTCTTGTCCACGTGTCCTGAGGTACATGCGCGCAAGTTTCTCCAAATTTTCTGACCAGAATTGAAATTGCTGAGTCATAAAGTAACTTCAATATTATTTTTTAAAAATTTGTACACATTTTCCTTGTTTAAAAAAAAGTATATAGGGCCGGCCCGGTGGCACACTCAGGTAGAGTGCGGCGCTTGGGAGTGCGGCGGCGCTCCCGCCAAGGGTTCAGATCCCATATAGAGACCGGTCTGCTCACTGGTTGAGCGCGGTGCAGGCACAACACCGAGGGTTGCGATCCCGTTACCGGTCACGAAAAAAGACAAAAAGGAAAAAAAAAAAGTATATATACAATTATTTTCCAAAGTGGTTGTCATTTCTCCACATCCTCTCCAACACTTGGAATTGTCAGACTATTTTTTATATTTGCCAGTCTGGTGGGTATTTAATGGTATTTTTTCTCTTTAAAATGTATGCAAATCTAATCTCATGTTTTGCCCATCTTTCTGTTAAAGTGTGCCTGGATCGAGTGTCCCCCCCAAAACTTGACCTCTACTGTGAGTGTTAAGAGGGTGGGAAATCCTATTGTAATTGAAAGGTGGAGCCTTGAAGAGGTGATTGGGTTGTAGGACCCTGCAGTAGTGAATGGATTAATCATGGTGATCAGGGGGCTTTAAAAGGAGAGGCAATGAGGTGGTTAGTCTCTCTCTGCTCCACCACTTTCTGCCATGTGAGACCCTTGCATTGCTGTAAAAGCCACCACCAAAGAAGACCTTCATCAGATATGTTCCCTGGACTTTGGACTTTCCAGCCTACAAAATTGTAAGCAGAAAATTTCATTTTCTTACAAATTACCCAGTTCCAAGTATTTGGTTAAAAGCAACAGAAGTGGACTAATACAAAGTGCTATATCTCTTACTGATTTGTAGGAGTTCTTCATAATCTGGATACCAACCTCAATCTGGATGTCTTTTTTCTCTTTCTTTGTATTTTTAATGGAATGAAGTTCGTAACTCTGTCAGAGGACAAAATTACAACAAATTTAGTTTAAAGATCAAATTGGCTTTGTTGCAATTCTAGAATTGGGCAACACTTAATTTCATAAAGTAGAATACATGTTCCAATGAGCAAAAGAGGTTGACTTTGACTGGCCAGTTGGCTCGGTTGGTTAGAGCACAGTGTTATAACACCAAGGTCAAGGGTTCAGATCCCCATACCAGCCAGCCGCAAAAAAAATAAAAATAAAAAAAGAGGTTGGTGTTATAGACAGAAAAAGGCTGAAGAAAGCAGAAACAAAGAACAAAAAGCAGATTGGTCATTTCAAAGTTACTTTCTGTGTAAGGTGGAGACAGGGAGACAGAACAGTAAAAGAATAACTGATTAGTTAACATCAGGTTACTTCAGACTATCCTTTCTCTGTAAGGATTAAAGCAGAGGGATTTTTATTATTATTCCTATTGAATTAAACTGGCCTGTTTGGGAAATTGTTATCTCTCTCTTCTGATTTCTTCAAAGGTCATACGACAGCTTAGTTTGGGTTTGGTGATGTGGAACTTTAGCAGGGTGATTCCATTTTGATTTTTACTGTGGTCTGTTGGGGACTAGTACTGAAACTTAGTCCAGAACAATGGCCTTCTGTAATTTTTATTTAACAACTCTCTTGTAGTTTAATTTATTGAATTTACATAGTTAATACTTTTCTAGACTTGTTTAAGAAATTGTGTCACACTTTGGTTCTCTGTGAAGTAGGTCCTAGGAGATTTTAATGCTGCTTCCTCAGACAATTTTCTAACCCCACATGCCAGACTGGACGGAGACCACCTGTGTGGTTTGTTTGAGGGGCCATGCCCTCCCAATTGCCTCCCTCCTTCCCCTCAGTTATCATCAGATCTATTTGTTTGAGCAAAGGCACTGTCTGATTTAATTGCAGGTGGCCCTGGGAGGGTCACAGTGGAAGCTACTCGTAATACATTTATTAGGAAATGTCTTTCCTGGGAGCAGCTTTGGAGCTTGCATAGGATTTCCAAAATAAGGTAGGGAGTGAAGGTACTTTGTGATATAGGAGCTGGCATGTATTTGTTTTGAGCATGGATGCATTCTGGCTTTTTGCTTCCTATCTAAATACAGCTTAAAAATGCCAAGTTTAGGGCCAGCCCGGTGGCGCACTGGAGAAGTGCGCCGCTTGGGAGCGTGGTGGCGCTCCCGCCGAGGGTTCAAATCCCATGTGGAGACCGGTTCCCGCTCACTGGCTGAGCGCGGGGCGGGCGCAACACCGAGGGTTGCGATCCCATTACCGGTCAGTAAAAAAAGACAAAAAGGAATGGGCCGGCCGGGTGGCGCACTGGATAAGTGCGCCGCTTGGGAAGCGCGGCGGCGCTCCCGCCCGAGGGTTCGGATCCCACATACAGACCGGTTCCCGCTCACTGGCTGAGCGCGGGGCGGGCGCAACACCGAGGGTTGCGATCCCATTACCGGTCAGTAAAAAAAGACAAAAAGGAATGGGCCGGCCGGGTGGCGCACTGGATAAGTGCGCCGCTTGGGAAGCGCGGCGGCGCTCCCGCCCGAGGGTTCGGATCCCACATACAGACCGGTTCCCGCTCACTGGCTGAGCGAGGCGCGGGGGCAACACCAAGGGTTGCGATCCCGTTGCCGGTCCCCGGTCCGGTACGGGGGCAACACTGAGGGTTGCGATCCGTTGCCGGACACGGAAAAAGACAAAAGACAAAAAGGAAAAAAAAATGCCAAGTTTAAGGGTGAGATAAACAAGTGAGCTAAATAGCTTAACACAGGGCCGGCCCGTGACTCACTCGGTAGAGTGCGGTGCTGATAACACCAAGGCCACGGGTTCGGATCCCATATAGGGATGGCTGGTTCGCTCAGTGGCTGAGCGTGGTGCTGACAACACCAAGTCAAGGGTTAAGATCCCCTTACCGGTCATCTTTTAAAATAAATAAATAAATAAATAAATAAATAAATAGCTTAACACAGCAGGAAAAGAAAAAAACTGGAAATGCACTGGCACTTAGACATCAGTTGGTGACAATTAACGAAGTCCAGATGTCAGTGAAAATGGTGGAGGAGGCAGATCCACAGGCCTGTTCCCCACAGAAACACCAAAATATCGAGTAAAAACAGTCAGAACCAACTTTGTCAGAACTCTGGAAAACAGAGATTTATAGCAACCAAACAAGTGCTGAATCAAGAAAAAAGCAACTTAAAAATGGTAGCAGAACTTTGTGGTGTTCTCACTTGCCCTCTGGGAGCAGAGCACACCTTATTTGCAAACAAGTGTTTGTCTGTTCTCACTTGCCCAGGGGCTGCCTGAAGGACTGACATAAGCACTAGCCAGAGAAAACATTGTAAGGCAAACAAACAACCTGCAGCCCCCTGGGGTAAAAAATTGCAGATGAAAAAAAAAAAAAAAAAATAGAGCACTGAAAGCTTTGGAGGAAAAGCTGGGGAGAGAGATTCTTTGGGAAATTAGGACATTTAAAAGCACCCATGTGTACTGGGAAATTTAGAAAGCCCCACGCATGCCCAGGGCAGCTTGCATGCTTGGAAAAGATCTAAGAAGACCTGGAGCTTTCACCTTGGGCTGGTCACTATGCTTAGTGCAAGCAGGAAGCGAAGGCTAAGGCAGAGTTGTAAACAGCAATGAAGGAGGATCCTAGCACAGACTGGGAGAGCCTCCTTGTTTCTGTGTCTGCTTTCTTCCCTCTCCCTGTCTCCCTGTCTCCCTGTCTCTCTGTCTCTCCCCCTGTCTCTCCATCTCCTTCTCCATCCCTGTCTCTCTGTCACTCTGCCTTTTGGCTTCTGAATCAGATGTGCTCAGTCTGTCAGGGAGGCCCAGGTGTACATGATAAGGATGTTTACAAGAGCAGCAGGTAGGGGGAGATGCCCAGGGCCCATGGCTGGCTGCCATTCCAGGGGGATGCCCTAGCAAGAAGGAGGGACTCATGTGGTGCTGGTGTTGCCCTGTAGCTCCTGTGCTATTCAGATGTCTCAGCTTTAATCTTCGGAGATTGCTGTGGTTCAGATGCCGGTCAGATGTTGAGTTGATCCTAATTCTGTTTGAATGTTGTCGCTCCAGGATGCAGCTCACCCTACTGGCCCTCTGTCTCTGCGAGGCCAAGACAGAGGCTGCTCATCCAATCCTGCGGAGGACTAGAAAGGACTAGAAACCAGTTCACCCACTGCAGCAGCCACCAGCATGGCCCAGGCACCCCAACCCTGGGAACAGGCTTTCCTGAAGTTGGGTGGGCATTCCTTTGGAGAAGGAGGTTTTTGGTTTTAATTTGTGGATACCCAGGAATCTGGGATCTGACATTTAGCTGGCTGGTAGCTGCTAGGCCTCACTGTCAGTACGTGTTTGAGGGCCCTTGCTGAGCTGGATGCTGCAGATGTTGAATGTCTCCCCTGCCTGTGACAGGCCTGACTTGAGATGGTTAAGAACCTCCAGAGGAAAAACATGACAAGGAATGTGCATGGTGTGGACTCACACCCCCTCTGGGACAGTGCCAGCTGTGCCTGACAGCATGCCGTCTTTCCATGCAGGAAGGACATTCCCGTGGGACATGTGACACATGCAGACAGAGAGCAGACCAAGAAGGTGGTGTACTCGGTGGTCTACGGAGCAGGTAGGCTGCGGCCAGGAGGTCAGTCTTGGGGCCACCTGTAAGCCAGATGGCCGTGTACCAGTGTTGAAATATGGCTATACCTCAGAGAAACCATTTTGTGAGTCTCCGTTACATAAACATGATGACATTTGCAACCACCAGACACTAGTCAGATCACTTCAGGCCCCTGAGGCACCCAATGTCATAGCAGACTTTTCAGATGAGGCAAAAGAGGTGTGATGTGCAACCACTGGGCGGGGTGGGGCTGGGGTTCAGCCCAGGGCGTGCGGCCACTCCCTGCATCGCACTGCTGTGCTGGCTCATTTCTGGGCTTGGAGACCCTCAGTGACCCTTACCCACATCCGCACACCAAGGTTTATAAAGTTAAACCACCTCAGAATGTTTCCACTTCTCAACTGACACCCCGTCTGCCCCAGAGCAGAGCTCATCCAGCTGCCTCCCGGAGGGCAGAGCCAGGCCTCCGTCCAGCAGTGAGACAATAGGGGATCCCACCTCAGGGGCAGCAGGCAGGAGGGAGGGGACTATGCCAGGAAGTACTCGAGGGCCAGAGGTTTGGGGCACCTGGTGACTCTTCTGCAAGCCTCCCCCCTCCCTGCCACCTCTCCTTCCCCTCCCCCTTCCCTTTCCCCTCCTACTTCTTTTTCCCCCCCCCCCCCACTCCCCCTGCTCCTCTTCCAGCCCCAGGACCTGATGCAGAGAAGGCCTCTGCTCTCTTCCACTCTCTCTCCTTCTCTCCCTTCAACTCCCTGGCCGTGGACTGTCTGGAATTTTTACATGAACTTTCCTCGCTGTGGGTCATGCTGAATCAGTGAGCTGATTTCCCCTCAGGAGAGGCTGTTGGCCGGCCAGCCCACACCTCCCCACTTTGGACAGCTCTGCTTTGAGCAGTGGAGCTTGTGCAAAGACCCTGCGGAGAGAAGACACCTCCCTGCCATGGAGACCGTTTGTTCATTCAAGGAAAGGCAGCAAAACTGAACAAGCTTCAGTACAACAGTAATGGGGCAAACATGTAGGCGATCTCTCAGCTGCCTTGCACAGCCCCGCATGGCTGCCATGCCCCTGGGTTTGCCATGCCCTTGGGCGTGCATCTGAGTGCTACTGCCCAGGATGCAGGTGGCTGCCTTGCCAGAATCCTCCTCAAATCTGCCAGGCCAGCTCTCCAACGTCCACAGAGCTCAGCCCTCCCCTCCACAGCCTCCTCCACCACTATATTAGTTACCCTTTCTGGGTAACAAATTGCCACAAACTTAGCGACTTAAAACAACACACATTTATTATCTCACAGTTTCTGTGCGTCCAGGCACATCTCAGCTGGGTTCCCTATGGGGCTGCAGATAAGATGTGACTGGGGCTGGGCCCTCGACTGAGACTTGACTTGGGAGGGACCCGCTTTAGTAGCTTCTGTGTCTTGCTGGCCGCCAGCGGGAGGCTGCCCGCTGCTCCTTGCCATGGGGCCTCCCAGCCTGGCAGAGCCTGCACCAGGACAGCTGCTCTCCTCAAACCAGCAAGTGGGAGAGGCACCCGCTCAGCTCCCCTCATCTGCTCACAGCCTCGTCCGCCGCCTTGAGGCGGGAGCTCTTGCCACGTTGCTCACTGCCTGGCAGAGAAGGCACCTGGTACTCTCTGAGCACACTCAGGCCTGGTAGTCTTTCAGCTGCACTTTTGAAGAGATTTTGATTGTGTACAGTTTTGGGGGAAAAGAACTAAGAAACTTTGTTTTAAAGAACTAAACTTGGTGGGTAACAGAGTGTGACCCTGGATTGATTCTTCTCAGGGTGGCTTGTTCCTCCTCTCAGCGTCCCCTCTGCTGCACCCTGAACCTTCCTGGGATCTCTTTCTGGGGGAAGACAGCCTTCTGCCACATTGCATTAGCCCTTGTGCCTGCATCCTTGCTCCAGAATCACACCTTGCAGACATGCCAGCTTCATCTCTGCAGGTAGAACGCTGCCTCCACCACCCCGGCCAGGCTGGGGCCCCTACTCTGTCGCCTCCAGACCATGTGGCCTTGCCCAAGGCCCTCCACATCTCCTCTTCAGCAAATGCACTCGCCAGGTGGAGTTGTTGGGCTGTGCCTGGCACACAGCTGACGCCCATCCCCATCATCCACCACCACATGCGGGCCCTATTTCAACTCTGTGCTGTGTCAGTAAACGCTTCCCAGTGACAGGAGCTTCCATGGGTCTCTGTGGTCCCCCCACCCTGGTGGGCACTGCTCACCTCAAGTCCAGTCAGGAGAGAGGTATGGAGGATGTGTGTGCCGCGCGCCCACCAGGGGATGGCAGAATACCTTCCCCACGCTGCCCCTCGCACCCAGAGAAGGGCAGTCTTCCCTGCTGTCCCAGTGGCCCTTCTAGAGGATTGCTTCATTTTTTTTTTCCCTGGAGATAAGAGCTACCCTTTGTAAAGAAGCAGTGAGTCATGAGCTATGATGCTGGAGAAAAGGGTAATTTGGCTGCTTGTAGCCCTGACAGCCACACAGGTCCCACCCTGAGCCTCTGGCTCCACAGCTCCCACCCCGCCTGACAGCTGAGGTCATGGTGCCTCTGCCAATGGTGGCTCTTTTCCTTGTGCTTGAAACCAGAACCTTATCAGAGGAGCTGGGACCGAGAGACCCAAATGAACTCATCAGGCCTCCTGGGCTGCCGGGAACCCTCTGGAAGTTCCGATAAGTAAAGGGACTTTCAGTGGGTTTCAGTGATACGTTTTCACATAAACATAGCCTGGAATGGCATACAACAGGAGCATAGTTCCAGCACGGTCTTGAGAAAATTGGTGTGTGACTATAGTGAGGACTGTGATGAAAGACAGCGAGAGGCTGGCCAGCTAGCTCAGCTGGTTAGAGCGCACTGTTATTACACCAGGCCAAGGGCTTGGATCCCCATAATGGCTAGCTGCAAAAAAAAAACAAACAAACCCAAAAACAGCAGAGGCAGCAGCAGGACTGCAAAGCAGAGAAGATGCTCAGTGGATGCAGTTCTGTGCGCTCAGCCCCTGCAGCCCGTGGACAAGCCCTGCCCCACGGCCTCCTCAGACTCGGCCTGGTGTGGCATGTAGGAGCTGGCAGGGGCACTCTAGTGTGGACCAGCAGTTACCTGGAGAGCCATGGCCCTAGGGCTGGCTCCAGGCCTCTCTGTCAGCCTCTGCCAACTTGACAGGGCACCTCTGAGCCCAGCAGGAAACTCCTCCTCCAGGAAACAACTCCAGTCTTGCTCTGAGCTCTCACTGCTCTTAGAGTCCACCCAACACTTGATTCCTCTCACATTACTGAATATTTCTTAAGTTTGCTTGCACATCCAGTAACTGTTTGATCAGCAGGCTTTTACTGAGTGTGAACCATAAGCCAGGTCCTCCCTGGGCTCCAGGAGGACCGTGGCAGAAGGCCAGGGCCTGCTCCCAAGGGACTCGCATCTGTCAGAAGAAACACACGAGCTGCACAACACTGGGTCATCAGAAAATGTGCAGGTGAGTCCCTGGTGCCAGGAGAACCCAGAGGAGGGCCCCCAGCCCGGATGAGCTGGGAGAGTCCAGAAGACGGCCCAGAGCAGAGCAGCAACACCTCAGCCACTGTGAAAGCTGCATGGGAGTTCATCAGTCAGGTCTGTTCCAGTTAAACTCACCAGTGTTCCTGAGGCCCCTGTAGCCAGGCACTCGTTCAGCCCCAGAGACAGAAACAAGGGTGGGAAACTGTGAGCAGCGTGTGTGGGGCAAAAGAGCACTTGGAGCAAAGGAAGTAAGGGCTGTCTTCCTCAAGTTAAAACAGTGACACACAGACGTACACATCCATGCACACCCTGCACCACGATGTCATTAAGCCATCTGTGGGAAAAGCCAAATGTTGTGTTCGTGTAGGATTTCTGAGGTAAGGACCTCTTAGTACCCCCACCAAGCAGATCCTGGGATGCTCACAGGGAGACAGGCCTACATGTGATTACAACTTAAAAAGCACAAACCTGATCCATTGAATGAAAATGTGAAGGAAAGTTCTGTGAAAAAAGGAGCAAGTCCACAAGAAGCATAGACTAGAAAAGCCCCCACAGAGCCAAAGTCGTCCTGGGAGTAACTGTGGCCTTTGAGTATGACAGACCCAGTGTACAGAGTGTCCAGAGCCTGGGGAGATGACGGGACCCTCTCTCCATCTTAGTCCCTCATCCCTGCTTCTTTTGGGGTTGCCACTCCATTGGCTTCTCTTGCAGACAGGCTTTCTTCGCCTGCAGGGACCTCAGTCACCTACTACCCTTCTGGTATCCCAGCAGCTCCACAGAAAAAAGGGAAATAATTCTTTCTCAGCCATAAATATTTGGAAGGAGAAGTGTGACTTCGGGTCATGGCCAAGTAGCTTCCATCAAAACAACCCTCCCATAGACGTCAACTATAAACTATGGGAAAAGTATTAAAAAATAACTATTTGAAGGCACTGGAAAGTGACCAAAAGCAAAAGCAAAAGAAACTGGAGGCTGGTTGACACTTGGAAGAAAGGAATGGCACAGGCGAGTTTCCAGTCTGCAGCTTTTCACCTGAAGGCAGACCTCAGGCAATGCTGTGGACAGCTAAAGCTCTGATGGAACCCATCACCTTTCTAGCTTGAAGAAACAGAGGACAGAGTTTGGGGCAACCAGAGAATCTGGAAAGTGGAGGGAGAGATTCCAGGAAGAAGAGAGCCAGAGGAGAAGCCCAAATTCTGGGTATGAACTCTGGCTGACGCCTAACTATACACAAATGGTGCTAACTTCAAACAGCCCAGCTAAGGTTAAACGAACAGAGCTAAGTTTTCAGTTGCTGCCCACTGCAGGGAAACAGAGTTTGAAGTTTGACTGTAGTCAAATTAACTGCCTTCTTTAAAAAAATCAATACTCCTAAGAAGAACATAACAGAAGCCATAGTTTCTACAACATAACATTCACAATATCCATGATACAATCCAAAATTATTAAACATGAAGAAACAGGATAATTTGACCATACTCAGAAAAAAGACAATTATGGAAGCAGATACTGAGATGACCCAGGTGTTGGAATTAGCAGACAAGGATTTTAAAGCTGCTATTATAACTATGCTCAAGGATGTAAAGGAAAATATGCTTATAAGAAATGAAAAAAAGAAAACCTCAGCAAATAAAAAAGAAATTCTAAAACTGAAATATGCAATATCTGAAATAAAATATTCACTGGATAGGCTTAACACTAGGTTGCAGATGAGAAAAGACTTGGCTAAGAAGAAGATTCAAAGTCCCATCTGGCCAACCTGGCTGAGGTATCTAGCCCTTGTCTGGTTTCTTTCTGAAAGCCAGTGGAATTTTCCATTGCAGTACCACAACTGAGGGGTGGTGGTTGGAATTTGATAGAAAGAAAGAGTTATAGATGGATTATTTCAGTAAAGTGTAGCAAAACACATCATAATTTATTCATGAAGATATCACACAGTCTTAAGTCCTAAAAGGATATTGGAATTTTTTCATTTTCAGCCAAATGACCTCAAGTATTCAGGCCAGTCTAGGCATAGAGGAAGGACCAAGGACTCCAAGATTTTATCCCTCTATGCTGGGATAAACTTTGGAAGAATGGGGCGCCCCAGACTTTCCCACTCTTCCTACAAAAGTGATGGGAGCAAGCATCTGCCCCTCATGGTCCCAAGACTCCAACATTCTCTCTGCCCAGAACTGTTGTAGGCATCAGCTGGCTGGGGCCAGGAGTGGCCTAGCTGAAAAGGGGACCAGGTCTGAGAGGCCCATAGTCCTACTCCTATAGAGGTCTCTTCCCTGGTCTCCATTGACCCCACTTCTCCAGCCCCTGGCATGCTTTCTGGGCCATCCTGTCCATAGGCCTCTGGGGTACCCTCTAGTATGACCCCAGAGCTGAGCCAGCACAGAGGACAGCAGGCCCACCCCTGGCCCTGGTCCTGCTGTCCCAGGAATGTAGGTCTTGTCTCCCTGGGTTCCCTCCAGCCATGCATCCCCAGAGCCCCAGGCTTTCCACATAATCCCACTGTCAGCAAGGGCCCCATGGACTCCTCATTCTCTATTTAAATTTTTCTTCTTTTCTGGGGGAAAATGAGGTGAATGGCTACATATCCAGGCCCAGGAAGGAGCCAGGCACTGCTTGGAGCCTCCCACGCCTTGGGCCCTGGGGTTCCCTTGCAACCCTTTGCAGTGAGGACTGTTGTTCCTAATTCACAGGTGGAGGGAGGGTTTATTGTGGGTTAAGTAACTTCCCCAAGACCCCACACCTCCCATGGGGGGTAGAGCTGGGCTCAGGTCCCACCACTTGCTCCCAGCAAGCAAGAGACTCACTCCGGGGCCTGACCAGAGACTTCTATATGCAGCTTCACAAGAAGAGCTGTTATCTTCTAGGAACAAAAATATTGGCCTGGACAAAAAGCAATTGTTTCAAAATAGAAATTTTAAGGATAGGGACTCCTGAGTACCATTTTCTCATAATTTGGCCATGGAACTTTCCCCTCCTCTGTACTCTGGGCCCCTCCCCTGCCTCCCTAGTTCTGGAATTGGGTTTCCCACTGGCCACAGCAACAACAGGGACCAGGTCTGCTTCATTCTCTGCTTCTCCTGCAGCACCTGGCAGGCACTTGGCCAATAGTGCTGAATAAATGAATGTCTAATAGGCCCCAGTCCAGGGTGAGCAGCACCCAGCACCCAGTTTGTAAAGCAAAAGCCAGCACCACCCTGACCAACCAGAAAAGCCCAGCAGTGCCATCTGGCTTTGACTCTCACATCCTCCAGGGGCCTCCACTTGGTCATCTCAGTGCAGCGCCCACCCCAGAAGTGTGCTCAGGCTTGACACTGGCCTTGCATCTTCCTGACTCACACAGGGAAGGAGCGGCTTGCTGCTTGCCTTGGAGTTGCTGTTGAGGAAGCTGCCCAGTTTTTGGAGAGTTTTCTGCAGAAGTATAAGAAAATCAAGGACTTTGCCCGAGCAGCTATTGCCCAGTGTCAGCAGACAGGTGAGCCCACAGCAGCTCAGCCTGCAGCAGCCCCCACTCCTGCCCACCTGTGCTCTGCAGCGGCTGGTGGTGCCTGTGGCTCCTGATTCTGTGGGTGGGTGTGTGGACAGATGGGTGGATGGTGTGTGGATGGATGGAGCTGGGTGGCTGAGGCTGGGCAGAGGGTGGCTTGGGGAGTGACCAGCTGGATGAATAGGACTAACAGCCTCCAGGTGCAAAGGGGCAGAACTAGGCTCCACTTGAAGCAACAAAAGCTTGAGCAAGCTTGAGTTTGTAATAGATGATAGCTGGACAGACCAGTAAAGACAGACAGATAAAATCCTGCACCTAAAAACGGAGAATATATAAAAGCAAAACCATCCATCCAGCTACCTATTTGGAAATGTATTGCACTCTTAAGTAATTTAAGATTTTAAAAAAAGAAATCCCAAGAAAATGACAAATGTTTTAGGAATAAACGACAGAAAAAATATCTCATCAAAAACTGTGGACTTGGGGCCGGCCCGGTGGCGCACTGCTACAGTGCGCTGCTTGGGAAGCGCGGTGGCACTCCCACCAAGGGTTCGGATCCCACATACAGACCGGTTCCCACTCACTGGTTGAGCGAGGGGCGGGCGCAGCACCGAGGGTTGCGATCCCGTTGCCGGTCCCGGTCCGGTACGGGCACGACACTGAGGGTTGCGGTTCGTTGCCGGACATGAAAAAAGACAAAAAAAAAAAAAAAAAAAA